ACAAATTTTCATGTTTAGAAATTTTTGCGTTCCACCAACGTGTCGTGAAAAACTGATTGAAAATCGCTTCCTTAATAAATATACATCGAATCTCGAGTGTGCCAAGAGGAGGTGTCACCTCGTCTCAAAGCTGGCTAACACAAAGGACACGAATATTCCTGTGGCTCATAAATGGGTTGTCATTTCAATGTCATACGTCTACCTCACGAGCGTTAACCCACAAAGGTACTGACCCGAGTATTCCCGGCAAAGCCGCATAAACATTAACGCGATTGATTCCTGGTAACTCGGTCAGGCTGTACCCGGTCAGACGATATTGTTCACCCTTTCGGCTCTCATCTTGACCGTCACAGGCAACCCGTTGGTCTACTGCACAAAAAAAAAGGGGCATGCCTCCTCATGGATGAGGTGGCCACGAGTTCCCGAGAATTTCTAAATTTATAATCGTATTTTGAAATACGGCTCTTCGCCGTAGCGACGCCAATGGTCGAACGAAGACACGAGTGCTTCGACATATTTGCAATTCATCTTGACGAAAGGAATTGGATTCTCGAAGACATATTAATCGATATGTGCTTGAAAACTTAATAGCACTTTATTTCCTTAGACAAATATTCGAGAATGTTGAAGAAACATTGAATAAACGAAATAGGTGTGCATTTTTAATTAAGAGATTAGCTATTTCTTTGTAAATTATTTTAGAATTATTAGGCGGGAACATTCGCATATGCATGACGTTTGAATCATTTTCGAATTCCGTTCGACGGAGCTTTCGACACTTTAATTAATTACATGGATATTCATTCATCGTTCATAGGTTTTATTTGCTGCTTCAATCCCCTTTTGTATTCTTGCGCCTACTCGTGGACAGATTGTATTTACATATTTGTGCACATGTTTGCATACCAACGTACGATGCACTTTTTAAAAGGATAAAAAATGAATTTTTTTATGGAATTAAACATATGCACGAAGAAAATCAAACCTCTTAAACTGGAACTGATAAATTTAAGGACGAGTGCAATGAAAAAGAGTTGTAAAACGTTTAACGATTTTAAATTGTTCAAATATTTGAACTATGTTGATTCCTTTTAATTTATGACAACCAACCAACTATTTACCAGACATGGTGCACATGAAAAGTTTGTTGAAACATTGATTAAAAATTCCACGTACATTAAATCCAATAAAAAAAAAGAGATACGTTAAATTATTGGTCGCTGTAAGCTGCTTGAATTTCAAAATTTAACCAATTGGGAAGTGTATATAATTAAACTATTGCAAAATTCAGCATTATACAATTCCTTCATTAATTAAAAGTTTTCCCATTAATTATTCCAAATCTATAAAAATGAACGCGTATTATAACTTTATTTAATTACTGTTTCCAAACACTATTCTCCCTTCGAATAAATATTATTTATTTAATTCATAATTTTTTAAAAATTCGTTTACTGTTTGAACGTATAATGAAACAATACTTTCCAACATTCCAATAAATTCTGAAACCTAACCTAAAATACCTACTTTAAATCTCAATGTCTTTAAATAAATTCAAATATTCCCAATTACCGATCTAAAATTGCAAAAATTTTCCACACAAAAGAATTTAAATTTACCACCGTCCACAGAATCCAATTCCACCCCTAAATTAAATAAACTATACTATTCATGATCAATAAAAATTTTTCAAACAGGGAAATAAAAAGAGAATTGTTTCATTTATATTCCCAATTACCGATCTAAAATTGCAGAAATTTTCCACACGAAAGAATCTAAATCTACCACCATCCATGGAATCCCTAATTAAATAAACTCCACCCCTAAATTAAATAAACTACGATATTCACGATCGATCAAAATTTTTCCAAAAAGGAAAATAAAAAGAGAATTGTTTCGTTTAAAATCCTTCGGAACCATTTTCACTTATCGAAGAGATATAAATTTCAAAAGCCTGAACGAGCGTGAATAGTAGTAGCAGCGTCACCCCGAGGAGGAACCGTGGAACTAACCCCATTGATTTTTCGCGCGAACGTGCCGCCGCCACTGTCGTTTACCAAATAAGGAGAGGCCTCGAACCGCGCCACTACACAACGCAACCCCTTGCGAACAGCAACATGGCCGTCCGTTGAATGACAGTTGTTGCACTCGGTTCGCGTTACTTGTTGACCATCCCCGGGCTTCGACGTGCACCTGTCAGCATCATGTTTTCGCGTTGTCGAGGGCGATCACGCCGGCTCTTCTTCACGGTGAGTTCTCATGGGACACTTCTTCGACGTTCCGACGAAATCCTCCTGCGTATCGCCAAATTATACGGTCATCCTCTGCATGCCCATCGAACATAGGATTTTTCGAGTTCCTCGTCCACGTTCACCGATGCACAGGGAATCCTCCTCGACTCGTGAATTTTTACCCATGTGCGTGTTTTTATTTCGGCGAACGGAAAGCATGGCGCGACGAAGCACGTTAACGTGATCTGAGACAGGTCGGATGGTTTGTTTGTGAGATTGATCGTGAGAGAATCACGCCAAGGAATCGTTTTGTTACCCTGCCACGATACGGAAGCGATGATTGTTGTGCCGCCACTGTGATAATATTTTGCCGATTCCAGATACGCTTCTGCGTCGAATCGTCGGCGGAATTTTCAACGTAAACATTTATCCTACCCTCGTGTCGGATCGAGTTATTTTCGATTATATCCGATATTCGTTGGACTAAGAACGCGATCGATCCAGTGCGTGTCGAGGTGAAAAAAGGGAGATAACAGGCTGGTTTACGAGCGTGTATTTTTAATCGAGTGCTTCTGAACGAACGAGCCGATCGCATTCAGAATCCGGCTGGCTAATTGGCGAATCTTAGAGGTTCAACGTGACAAGAGATGTTCGTTAACGGGACTCACGGTTTTCTGCTAAAAATAACGGGGACATTCGCTGGTACATTGGAATCCCTCGGTGCACAATTTTAGATCAAGCAAACTCGATCGTTGTTCCCTCACGTGTGACAAGCTTTCACCGCAGAGTTCCACTGTTTATCCCGATTCCATCGTGTATCCTCGATTACGAACGAATTACACCATAAACGCACTCTTTTTGCCATGGCTAAGCATCGTCGAGTATGATCACATTCCACGAATGAAACGAGCTAATTGCCTCTCGCTGCGTAAACTGATAACGTTCCCTTGTTATGTCACGGAGAACTAACAAACCAGTTTCACTGGTAATTCAAACTTATCTCTGTCCAGCTCTCCGTTTCTAATTACCTTTCGTCCAGAAACTACAGTTGCTCGTTTGCCGGTGGAACAAATTTCTCCACGCTGAACTATCCACTCTGTTCCACGAAATTAAACGCGAACAGCTGATTCTGAAGTATCCACAGGGGCTTATCTCGAAAGTGAACGACACAGTTAAAAAGTAAATACTTTGGAAGCAATTAAAGTCCCTGACTGACACACGATCGTCTGGATTACAGTAGGAGGCGTTAGTCCTTGAAATCTTCAGCCGTTCCAGGTGAGGTCAGCACAGATTAGCTGCGCAGGCTGGAATTAACAGAAGGTTCATCCCTCGTTGACGAGTTCGCAGAATTCATTCGTTCTGCGGGTCCCGATACGGACACGAGGCCTGCCTAATGTGTACGTGCATGCACGCGTCGTTTGGCTGGAATTAACACTTCGACATGTACGCGCGCGGATCAGCTTAGGGATCGAGCCAGAAATTCAAATTCCGCTCTGACTCCGGCCAGTAACGACGCAAGCTCGGATCGACTGTACCCTGTTTCATCCTCACTCTTCCCGATCGGTTTTGGCACTCGTTGGACCATTCTTCTCTGCTCTCGTGGTACTCGTCAACCAGATTGGCCCCAGAGTGTTCTCGATTTTCGTGATAGTTCAACTCTGGATTAACTTTATCGACGAACTTTGATTAGACTTCGGCTAGACCCTGATTAAACCGTGATTTACAGCTCTTGCAAGGTTAATTAGTTTGTACATTCTTGGTGTAACATCTATAGAAGATGATTGGGACAAGTATCATAATTGTAACATAGAATTACAGTTTGTCGGATCGTTAGACCTATCACGAGAATGTCTTCGATTTTTGTGCTATTCTGAAGAACCTTGGACTGCCTTTGACTAGATTCAATTTCGACCAGACGTTGATTGGACTTTAATTAAACTTTTAATCGGACAATTTCCCGCGGTTAATTACTTCGTGTCGCGTTCTTTGACGTAGATTCTATTAAAGATAAACGAGATTAAATCGCGCAGTGGGAGAACAGCGATCTGTTGAATCGCTAAGATTGTCCCAAGAGTATTTTCGATTTCCGCGAGATTTGAACTTTGGATTAATTTCGCTGAACCCTGACTAGACTCCCGTTAAATTTTGATCCAACGTGAATCTTGAAACGGACGTATTTCGGATCACTCGTTACGCTTTTAGCGAAGACTTCTGAGAAAATTGGGATAAATTATTAAAAGGTGGAATAACGATTTATCCAATCGCTAAAACTGTCTCCGAGAGTATTCCTGATTTTCACGATATTCCAGCGTCGCATTAGCTTCCTCGTCAATGAAGTTTGATCACGCTTGGGATTAAGCCATAACCAAACTTCGACGTTTCAACGTGAACGTTTTGCTTACGATTTAATGACGTTCCTGGTGTAATCACTGGTAAAGATGAGCAGAACAAATCGTGAAAAGACAGGATTACAGTTTGTCGAATCGTTAAGACTATCCGAAAAGTGTTCTCGAACTTTGGATTAACTTTTTCGCCCAGGAACTTTAACTAGACTTTAATTAGACCAAGTGATTAAACTTGCATAAAAGGATCTCACAAGGTTAACTGTCTGGTAGTATTTCTTCGGGTTTTCAGAGTAATTGTTACTAGAGATTAGCGGAATTACAGTACAGAATGGCTGAAATCGAACGACGAATCGTTTTGTGTTGCTCGGCTATTAAATTTAAGGCGAGTCTTTATACGTGTAATTTTTGTCTGTTTGAAATCTAGATGCCTTTCATGTTGTAAACAATACTAGGTGAAAGGAAGCCTCAGACCGAAGATGGGCAAGCTTTTGAGCCTCCTGGCTCGAGACGAGTCTACCTGTTGCACGCCTCAAAAGTACGACGTCTTTTTGGATTTCGAAAGTAAGTTCGACGAGTATACTCGTGCCGATACGTCCTTTCTCAATCGTGACCTTTGCTTGTCCAGTTCGTTCTTCGTCCTCTCGAAAGTTTCTCGCGATCAAACGGGGTTGCCCGATATCGAAGTGTTGGCACGCGCGCTGTGTGCCATTCGTGAAAGGGTACCATCCTTGGGGAGTGATAGCCGTTTTTATCGAATTTTTAGATGCACAACCTTCCGACATAGAACGAGAGACCTTTGAAGCGGTGCAAAGGGTTCTGAAAAATTCAGAATCTATCTTGGAGGAGATTCAGTGCTACAAAGGGGCAGGGAAAGAAATCAGGGAGGCGATTTCGGCGCCCACGGAAGAGTGTCAACGGAAAGCCTATCTGACTGTTGCCCCTCTGGTCGCGAAGCTGAAGAGATTCTATGAATTTTCATTGGAACTCGGTGAGTGTCAACTTCTTTCTTCCCTTTGCTTTATTTCATTTCCATCACGCTCGGAATATTTTCAAACTTTTTTTAAATTAAACGGGACATTTAATGAATGCCGATATTTAAGAGTAATGGGGCATTTAATTGTAATTGGATGGACTCGGATTCGAGATATCTCACGTTAATTACCACGTATTAAATTTCTAAAATAGAATATCACGCATGCCAATCTTAATTTATCAATCGAATTTCTCGAATTATTTCCATTAATTGGGAAAAGAGAATAGCGGAAAAAAATGCTTTAAACGTTCAACGTCTACCTAATATTAAATTTTCGATCTTTGATAGACATATTTAACCTTTTGCACTCAGCAGTTTTTTTAGTTAATAAAAATTGTAATTTGAAGACTTTCTGCCATAACGTCGACGATATTTTTAAAACGGTAAACAAGAGATCGTATACAAATTAAGACGTAGAATTATTTTACTTCGACATTCCAAGCATCTTTGGGTAATTTTGAAGAATTAATTTATCAATCGAATTTCTCGAATTATTTCCATTAATTAGGAAAACTGAGAATGATGAAAGAAAATGCTTTAAACGTCAAACGTTCACCCAATATTAAATTTTCGATCTTTAATAGATATTTAAATATAGTAAATATAGTAACTACGAAAATAAATAATAAATATACGTATATATATAGCTATTTATTTTCGTAGTTACTATATTTAAATACCTATTAAATATTTTAAATATAGTTATTAAATATTTACTAATTAAATATTTTAAATATATTTAAATACCTATTTAAATATAGTAAATATAGTAACTACGAAAATAAATAATAAATATATATATATATAGCTATTTATTTTCGTAGTTACTATATTTAAATATCTATTAAAGATCGAAAATTTAATATTAGGTGTATAAAACAATAATTAGCCCTGTTGCAACGACTACTAAAGATCAAAGCTCATGTTTTCTTGCATTTTCTTCTTTAGTGATATAGGTTACTGCTTCAATTCCTCATTAAGCAAATAATGTCATTGCATTATCTCTCTCTCTATATATAATTACATTTCTATCTAAATTTCTATTTAAAAAATGTTTTCCTAAATTTTTTTCTTTATTCAAAAAAAATGCTGGAACCCAGATTTCTATATACAATACGGGTTCTGGCAACAAGGCTACGTCGGAAAAATACAAGTCAGTGGAGAGGAAAAAACTGGCATTTCGCAAATTTTGTACATGCTTATATAATGTTAGTTTTTGGTGGGGTGAAGATGTCAATTGGCCCTTAGTGAGAGTAGAAATGAGTCAGTTGTTTTTGGATTCTGAAATTGGTCTGCGTTTATTAGCTAGGCCCTTCTAATGACCAAAGGCCAACGGATCGTTAGTCATCCAACAAAAATTTAGAATTTACGAAGAGAAATCGCGCGTTTTTAAGAAGTCAATAGTCTAGCTTCAATTACGATGTCATTCGCCGAAACCAAAAAAGGACGTAAGAACTTAAATGTCGATATCGGTTTAGCTACGGATCGCGAGGGATTATTGTTTAGCTCGAATCTAGTCTGAATATTCCCGTAGACGCTGTGATTGGAAATCCAATATCATTGCATCTCTGCACGAGCGAAAGTTTCAACCGCTTATAAACTTCAGGTGCATTTATTGCCTTTATTTTGCATAACGCGGTGACCATCCGAGCGGAATGAAAATGTCCGCCAGTTCATAAACTACGCGATGTTAAAAGTAAATTGGCCGGACAGACGTGTTTTTTCTCACGGGCGAATCTAGAAACTCGATAATAGTAAGAACCAGAATTGTAATGAACCTTTTGCATGTCCTTTTTACCGACTTTCACATTAGCCTTCGAACCTTTCTAGTCCTTTTCTCTGCGATTTATGATTGCACGAGAATAAATGGAAAGATGATAGCATAGAAAGTGAGTTTCAGAAAGATACATTCTCGAGCCAAAGTTTCGACTTTCGATTTCTTAACCCACATATTAACCCTTTGCACTCGAGAAGTGATTTTCAGTCACCATTTAATCAAATTCTAAAGATCGACGTTAATTAATATATCAAGTTTAAAATTACCTAACGATGTGTGGAATGTCGAAGGAAAATAATTCTACGTCTTAATTTGCATATGATTTCTCATTTACTATTTTAAAAATATCGTCGACTCTTGACAGAAAGTCTTTGAATTACTATTTTTCTGTAACGAAAAAATCGTCGAGTGCAAAAGGTTAACATTATGGTCTTTGGCTTCCCTACTTCGAGTACAGCACAATTTTGTAGATTGCAAGGAATCGTGTATGTCACGGTATAATTACCCAGGGAGTGATTTTACATAGGAAAAGAAATGCTCGATAGCTTACAATAAAATTTTCTTATTCTAGAAGTCTTGCTCTTTAGATTTAACCCTTTGTACTCGATAGGCGCCTCTCAGTTGCCATTTAATCAGATTCTAAAGATGGATGTTAATTAATATATCAAATTTACAGTTACTCAACGATGCGTGGAATATCGAAGTAAAATAATTCTACGACAAATTCTTAATTTACATACGATTTCTAATTTATCGTTTGAGAAATATCGTCGACTTTATGGCAGGAAGTCTTCGAATTACTATTTTCCTGTAACGAAAAGATCCCCGAGTGCAAAGGGTTAATTAGTTCTATTTCCCATTTTGAATATTAATTTTTACATTTTTATTGTGGTTCTGAAAAATTATTATAATTTACTTTCAAGATACTGGGTCGATTATGAACGAGTGAAATTTTGATTTCGATCTGTAATAGAAAACTATCCTAAATAAAAGTTATTAATTAAAAATTATTATAATTTACTTTCAAGATACTGGGTCGATTATGAACGAGTGAAATTTTGATTTCTATCTGTAATAGAAAAATATCCTAAATAAAAGTTATTAATCCTTTGCACTCGAGAGGTGAGCTTCAGTCACCATTTCATAAAATTTAGAAGATCGATATTAATTAATATATCAAATTTAATGTAATGTAACAGTATGCGATGTATCGAAATCAAATAATTTAACAATTCTATTATTATACAATTCTTTATTTATTGCTCAAAAAAATCGTCAGTTTTTTAACAGAGAATCTTTAAATTTTTATTCTTCCCTAGCCAAAAAATCGTCGAGTGCAAAGGGTTAATCTCTTCAATATAATTTCAAAAATCTGAAAGAAGAGGAAGTAGCTATTTAAAATACGTAAACTCCAATTTTGAATAAAAAGGATCTACTTTTAAAATCTTTTAACGTGTCAATAAATTTGATATATATTAGAAAGGAGTTTTGGTTTCAAGTTTCATACTTTTATCAACCTCTTAAGCACCAGCTCGAACTTCGTGGCAATCTACTCGCAGACTTACGCTCAGTGCACGTGTAAATAGAAAAGACTCTGCAAACCATCCCTTAGGGCGACGAAAAGGAAAGAAAGGAGGGGAAAAAGAAATATAGGAGCCCACAAAGAGCCGTAACTTTCGTCTAACAATCAGCATTTTGACGTTTTCCAGAAAAGGTAGTACCAAAGATCCTGGGCCAACTATGCTCCGGAAACCTCTCCCCGACCCAACATCTCGAGACCCAGCAAGCATTGGTGAAACAGCTGGCGGAAATTCTGGAGTTCGTCTTAAAGTTCGACGAGCACAAAATGAAGACCCCCGCCATTCAGAACGACTTCAGTTATTACAGAAGGACGCTGACCAGAGCTTCCCTGGCGCGGCAGGAAAACGCTGAGAAGGACCTCGTGGTTGGGAACGAGCTAGCCAACAGAATGTCCTTGTTCTACGCCCACGCGACACCCATGCTTCGAGTTCTGAGTCACGCGACCATTACTTTCTTGATGGACGTAAGTGGTATCGCTTCCCTTCTTTGTACTCTCCCCCTAACTTTCGTCGTTCCACGACAATTATCGATCCATCCGGACGCCGATCGATGCCGGTCGTCGAGAATTCCGCTTGAATCGAATCGATTGAGATGGTGTCGTCGCTTGTCTTGTTTATCGAGCTGCCCTTCGTGGAACAGTCAATCGTTAATCTTCATTTGCGAGACAGTATCTTTTCTGATATATTCTCGGAAGAATTTTATTTTTAGCCTTTCTGACAGTTTATGCAAACTGGTTCGGCTGTACCTGTTGGAATATCGTGACTTACTCTTTTCTACTAGATTTTAAATTTCAATTTGGACCTTTATCGCATAACTTCGACCTTCTTTACTGATAGACGATATTTATTTTCGAATATAATCTGAATTTTAACCCTTTGTACCATTTGATAAAATTTCCAAGCTCGATATTAATTAATATATCAAATTTAAAATAATGTGAGAGTGCGTGAGGTATCGAAATTAAATAATTCTACGTGTTAATTATTGTATGATTTCTTATTTAGTGCTCAAAAAATATCGTCAGCCTTATAGCAGAACATTTTTTAACTCGTACCCTTCTTTAGCCAAAAAATCGTCGAGCGCAAAGGGTTAATTTTTATTTTTATCCGATATTTTTAACTTTATTTAAAAGTTTATAGTTGCTTTAATTTGGCTCTAATTTTTATTATGATTGATTTAACAGAATTCCAAATTTCTATTTTTATTTTATAACTTTCGTGTTTTTGAAATAGTTTATAGTTGATCCACGATGTGATTTAAATGATAATTTTTTAACTGGATTTAAAATTTGAGGTTCAATCATTATTCAATAGCTTCGAGTGTTTTTAATTATACGTCGTAACATTTTGACTAGATTCCAAAAAATTTCAATTTTTACTCGGTGCTTTCGACTTTTTCCAGCAGTTGGCACTTCTCTCATCTTAGGATGTAATCTAGGACACGATTTTTTGATAGAATTCCAAATTGCAATTTCAATCGTTATTAAATAGTTTCAACTTTTTACATTAGTTGCTGTAAGGTTTTCAATTCAGATCTAAAATTTTTATTTTAATTTTTATTCCGTTGTTTCAATTGAAAGACCGATATTTCCTAACTTTTAGAATTCTATTTTATATTTTGATATCGTAACATTGAAATAACGAGGAGGTTACAAAAAGGTCAGGAATGAAGAAGTAGCATAAATTTCGCGCGACGTAATCGTCCTCGGAGTTCATGAAAAATATTTGTACAGCTCTTTCATTCATCCTCTGACGTTAAAAGTAAATCTTCCTCAAAGCACATCCTTCGAGTCACAGGGAACAAAGGAAAAGTGAATTCCATGGAAGGTTATTTCGCGCGACAAGTAAATGTTAGCAATTTCCCAGGCTAGATCACCTTTGAATCATTCAACGTGCTTTTAAATCGACTTTGTTTCCGGAAATAAACAAGCAGAGGTAGCTTATAATAGCCAGAAGGAGGATATAAAGAACGAAAAGGTTCTGTGAAATCTTTGAAAATGTATTTACCTGCTTTGGTAACGCTGAATGGGCGCCATTGAAGCGAGGGCCATTCTTCGGCCGCACACACGTGCACGCCTGAGTCTGTGTATCTCTATTTCACGTAATAATAGACACCAGTTTTTTCCCGTTTTATCTGATAATTATCAGCTTTCCAATTTTCATCGGCCATCTTTGTTTTAGAACAAGACAAAGGGACGTTGCGTTTGCCTCGGTTGGTATAAATATCAAACGGGGGGTTGGCTTGATTAACATCAACGAAACTGGTGGAACAACGGTGTAGAAACAAATAGGTCGATATAAATAATGACGGGCATCGAAGCGGAAAATTAAAAGCGATTATTCCAAGTGATTCAGGATAAAACAGTTCTCGGAACATTTACCGGTATAATGGATACCAGATTCATTCGCAACAGACCTGTACATGTATATTTTAATTGCAACGATAAAGGATATTCGTGATACGATAGTGAAAATGAATTTCGAGTATTATAATAATTGTACTCGATGATCTTATTAATTATTGTGCTTTACTTGTTAATTTCGTCACTTTTTAGATATTTTGGTGAGGAATTAGAATGTTCACTACCTGTCGAAGTTCCATTACCTGTGCTTTATATATTCATTCAGTGCCTTTGTACATGGGTGACATCACTTTGGGAATTAGAATATTCATTACAAGTCGAAGTTCCATTATCTATGTTTCACCTACTGATATGGTGGCCTTTTAGTTGGCACTCATAAGTTGACAGTTAATTTGTTATGGAATTGGAATATTCACTACTTGTCAAACTTCCATTGTCTGTGTTTTATCTATTAATTAGGTGGTTTTGTATACAGTTGGGAGTTATCACTCATGGTGTGGAATCAGAATATTCATTACCTGGTACAGTTCCATTATCTATGTTTCACCTACTGATTTGGTGGCCTTTTAGTTGGCACTCATACGTTGACAGTTAATTAGGTGTGGAATAAAATATTCACTATTTGTCAAACTTCCATTATTTCTGCTTTATCTATTGTTTAGGTGGTTTTGTATACAGTTGTACATGGGTGACATCACTTTGGGAATTAGAATATTCATTACAAGTCGAAGTTCCATTATCTATGTTTCACCTACTGATATGGTGACCTTTTAGTTGGCACTCATAAGTTGACAGTTAATTTGGTATGGAATTGGAATATTCACTACTTGTCAAACTTCCATTGTCTGTGTTTTATCTATTAATTAGGTGGTTTTGTATACAGTTGGGAGTTATCACTCTTGGTGTGGAATCAGAATATTCATTACCTGGTACAGTTCCATTATCTATGTTTCACCTACTGATTTGGTGGCCTTTTAGTTGGCACTCATACGTTGACAGTTAATTAGGCGTGGAATAAAATATTCACTATTTGTCCAACTTCCATTATTTCTGCTTTATCTACTGTTTAGGTGGTTTTGTATACAGTTGTACATGGGTGACATCACTTTAGGAATTAGAATATTCATTACAAGTTGAAGTTCCATTATCTATAATATATTCCATCTACTAATTTGGTGGCCTTTTATTTGGCTTTCATAAGTTAATAGTTAATTTGGTATGGAATAGAATATTCAATATTTGTCAAACTTCCATTATCTGTGTTTTATCTATTAATTAGGTGGTTTTGTATACAGTTGGGAGTTATCACTCATGGTGTGGAATCAGAATATTCATTGCCTGGTACAGTTCCATTATCTATGTTTCACCTACTGATTTGGTGGCCTTTTAGTTGGCACTCATACGTTGACAGTTAATTAGGTGTGGAATAAAATATTCACTATTTGTCAAACTTCCATTATTTCTGCTTTATCTATTGTTTAGGTGGTTTTGTATACAGTTGTACATGGGTGACATCACTTTGGGAATTAGAATATTCATTACAAGTCGAAGTTCCATTATCTATGTTTCACCTACTGATATGGTGGCCTTTTAGTTGGCACTCATAAGTTGACAGTTAATTTGTTATGGAATTGGAATATTCACTACTTGTCAAACTTCCATTGTCTGTGTTTTATCTATTAATTAGGTGGTTTTGTATACAGTTGGGAGTTATCACTCATGGTGTGGAATCAGAATATTCATTACCTGGTACAGTTCCATTATCTATGTTTCACCTACTGATTTGGTGGCCTTTTAGTTGGCACTCATACGTTGACAGTTAATTAGGCGTGGAATAAAATATTCACTATTTGTCCAACTTCCATTATTTCTGCTTTATCTACTGTTTAGGTGGTTTTGTATACAGTTGTACATGGGTGACATCACTTTAGGAATTAGAATATTCATTACAAGTTGAAGTTCCATTATCTATAATATATTCCATCTACTAATTTGGTGGCCTTTTATTTGGCTTTCATAAGTTAATAGTTAATTTGGTATGGAATAGAATATTCAATATTTGTCAAACTTCCATTATCTGTGTTTTATCTATTAATTAGGTGGTTTTGTATACAGTTGGGAGTTATCACTCATGGTGTGGAATCAGAATATTCATTACCTGGTACAGTTCCATTATCTATGTTTCACCTACTGATTTGGTGGCCTTTTAGTTGGCACTCATACGTTGACAGTTAATTAGGTGTGGAATAAAATATTCACTATTTGTCAAACTTCCATTATTTCTGCTTTATCCATTGTTTAGGTGGTTTTGTATACAGTTGGAAATTATCACTCTTGGAATTAGAATATTCATTACTTGGTGTAGTTCCATTATCTGTTCTCTATCCATTAGTTTGGTGTAGAATTAGAATGTTCATTATTTGTCAAAGTTCCATTACTAGTGTTTTATCTATTAATTTGATGGTTTTATAGATCTTGAATAAATTATTACGAGTTCCTATTAAATTCTTGCGATTTGTAATTGATATATATAACGAATTAATCCTTCGATATTTATAATCGAGAAATCGTTTGCACAAAATGTTTCACAATTTGACGTTCATGTAACGAAATATCGCGTTTAATGTCTCGACGTAAACATCAATTTGCGAGGCATCTGGTTCGCAGATGCGAAGGAGCTAATGACGTTAAACGAAGGACATGTATACCTTTAAAAATACATTTTTTATTTTGCTTTTACGCGGAATGACATTCGGTTATAAATATCGAGGAACAGACACGCGAAATAATTCGTCGAAGGGGAGGAGCGAGTACAAATTTGTACAAGTTATCTCGCTGAAAGATAATTTCGAGTATTAAATTTAATCAGTTTTTAACATTGATAAAATAAATACGATATTACATTAAAAATATAGAATTCTTATGTTTAATAAATTATTAAATTATTAAATTCAAAATATTAACGTACCGAATGGCCAATTAATTTGTTACAGGCATTTAATGGGCATTTAACTCTGTAAAGTTTACTAAAATGAACTATAAAGGGGGGTAAGTGTAACACAGAGTATTAGAAATATTAGTCATAAAGTCTCAAGGAGTTACACCTGCTTGAGACAATACTAAACCCTATGTAACGATAACAAAGTAATGAAGTTAACAGATATAGAGCAATCAATGAAAGTTTACCATATCCATCACACGATAAATTAACACTATAACTTAGATAGATATTAAAATTAGAAAATGCATAGATTCGAAAAATTTTATTCCAAAAATTAGATTATTCTGAAAATGTTAATGTTAATTCTCATAAATAATAATAACATCCTCGTTTTACAAAGTTTAGAATATTTTATTCCTCGTTTCAGAACGAAGACGTGGCACGTGAAAATATCACGGAAACGCTTGGTACCATGGCCAAGGTTTGCCTGCGCATGTTAGAAAATCCGTAAGTAATCCATTGATCTGACTGGGGGGAAAGAACCTTTACACTGTCTGGAAGGAAAGATATCTAAAGAAAGATGAAAGCAACTGCAGTTTGACCCGAGATATTTTATTGTTCTTAGGAATCTACTGGCGCAATTCCAACGAGAGGAAACTCAACTCTTTGTTCTGAGAGTAATGGTAGGGTTAGTGATCCTTTATGATCACGTTCATCCCCAAGGTGCCTTTGTTAAGGGTTCGAATGTCGATGTAAGTATACACTATTTAAAATAATTATCGCACCACGCCCATTGTCGTGCATTGTAAGAGGAATATATTTAATATTTCACTGACGTCAATTCTTGGATCAGACTATTTTAAGAAATAATTTAAAAATATATCGGGTGACTATGGTATATGAAATTAAGTTAAAACGTCATAACAACAGGTTCTTGGTATTTATATTCGAACAAAAATAACGCCAAGTAAAATTATACCTGTAGAAATGGAAATAGAAGAACATATTAAGAGATTATTTACCTCCACTGTGATTAATAAACAGTTTCTATCTATCTCGAATTAATAATAAATAGACGAAGACAGTTTCTTTTTGCACCAAATAATACGAAACAAATTTTAAGTATATACACGATGTAAAATAAAATTACTGTACCTTTGCAGTTATCTTTAGATATACTTAATATTTGTGTTCAAAATTGCATTTATATTTGCATTTAATTTCTAAAATAAACACCTGCTAACTGAATTTTCATTTTTAAATTTTAATCTTGGCAAGTGATATCCACATTGCCGTATTATAATTACCTTGCGTAAATACAAGTGCTTCACGCAAAATAAAATTGCTGTATCATTTCAAAGCGTTATTATCTTTAAATAGGCTTATACTTAAAATTACATTTATATTTGGATTTGATTTCTCTCAGCGAACGCATATCAACCGAACTGGAATTTATTTTAAAATTTTAAACTTGGAAAACGGTTGGTTCCAATCTATAAAGAGTTCATACACCTACGTTAACGTATTATAATCGCCTTACGTAGACAGTAAAAATATCATAAAGTACCCTTTCCATATTCTTAACCTTAACTCTCTTCCTATTTCCTATTTATAAACTCTATTATTGTCAGAACACTATAAATCACGGATAAGTCAAAGGTTTAGCCACCAGATTTCTTATGACTCGAGAGACACCCTAATTTTGGGGGTAACCACCTAGAGAGACTTTAGTCACGCTGTGACATTAAGAAATCCCCAAATTCCTACTTTCTCTTACCACTTTCACCTCCATAGGTACTTTTGCACAGACATAGACAAACCCATCATAGAAACTATAACCAGGAGATATAACACAGATCACCAGTTAACATTTACTAGACTATATCAACCTTCTAATCATAACACGTGAGTAGCTATATTAAGAGGATCCTTAAACAATTCATAGACGATTTTCAGAAATATTTATACAGTCTATGAACAATAAATTTAGGCACATCAAAGAAAGTCGCTCACCCCGTGCAAATTTAGATGCTAATACATACTATACGATCTAGGTACTATACACACCCATTGCAAAAATATACGTAGTCAATTCCTAGCAGAAATGTAAATATTTCTGCATCCGTATACAACGCAGTGAAGAATATAATAAGGAACGTGGCTGGATTAAATGTTTACAACGTTTCCAACGAAATTACGTCATTCTATCATCCTAAAATAATGATTTATTACCTATTACATAGAATAACCTTGAATAGGCGTTAGAAGGCAGAAATTAGGGGATTATAGATACTTTTGGATCTCGATGTACATATTATACATAAACACTGTCAAATTACACGACTCAGGCTATCTAAATACGATTCAATAAAAGAAGAAAATAGTTATTTAAATAAAGAAAATTCATTTATTAAAATCACTTCGTCTTTCCAGGTTAAAGGCTGTGTGAAGCTATTAAAGGATCAGCCACCATGCAAGAGCGAGGGTCTGCTGAACGCTCTCCGCTACACTACCAAGCATCTGAACGAGGATAACACACCTAAGAACATCAAGAACCTGCTAGCCGCATGATTACCGAAGCAGCGAGGCTGCTGCATCAGAAGCTGAGCCAATTGGCTGCTGATCTATCAGAAGCCGAACGAGCGACGCCATTTTGTGTAGCGCCACGGGGACGTCGAAGATGATATCCTGACGACTCCACGTGACCCAAGCAATCTCCCGTTTCTGGTCGTGGCTGGCTGGTGGACCACTAAAAACGTGTCTTTCGCAATCGAGTCTATAGCTGCCCGAAAACTGCCGACTTCTACATACCTTCTGAGAAAAAAGGAAATAAAAAATGAAAAAATACAAAAAAATAAGGAGATAGGTAGAACAATCGTAGAGAGGCAAGAAAAACGAAACGACTGAACATCGGAGGAATTGCTGAACTCGTTCTCGAGCGATGCCTTTGTCGCTGTTACGAGCGCGAACATTTAGGAATTATTATTATTATTATAAATATTACTAATCTCTCTCTATCTCTCACACTCACAAACGACACCCCTTGATTATTATCGATCATTGCTAATTATTATTGCTATTATTGCGACGTTTTTGACGTTTGTTCGAGTTATTATTGTCACCCAAGTATTATTGCCCTGGCTAACCTAAATCGTCACCACGTGTATTAACATTGTATTCGTCTTCCCGTACAGGGGGGAAGGGTTAATTAGTGCATATCAATAGCGTATTTAGGGTAACTATTCGACGAGCGCGGAACTATTCGCGCGTGTTACGAACAGAGGTTTTTAATAACGTTGTAAGATATTGCGCAAATCTTTAGCGATTGTTTTCTTTGTTGAACGGTTGTCATCCGGGCTAAATGACGATGAAGAGAAATTGTTACGACTGCAGGGGGGCCCTGTTTGCGTCATTGCGCCATTGGAATTCAGAGGAGAGAACCGAGGGTTTCCAAGACTTTCCAAGAGTCTCCAAGAGTTTTGGACTTTATCGTTGTTTCGTTGCTGCTCTTTTCATTTTGTTGCTCTCCTTATTAACATATTTTATCACAGATTTTGTTTTATCGCTTTGTTATAGTTAAGACAGACTTACCGGAGAGAATTTACGTTGATATATTCCCCTTCTTCCCCCCCCCTGCCCCCACATCCCTATTAGTTTCTTGTTTATTTCTACGTAACAGAGAGTTGAAAGAAACCAAAGATGTTGTTGCTAACGTTTATATGTCACATTGATTTTATCGTGAATCTATTGTCGCAGTATTTTCGAGAATCGCGTTATTTACACCGTCACAGGAAGAAAGTTATCGGGTGACGCGAATGTACCGTAGAAACCGTCAGTGTTTCTCGTAAAGAACAAATTCATACGTGAACGATATTATTGTTGGCGCTGGCAATCGCGTCGCACACCCTTTTTCTATGTGCACATTTAAGGATTCTAAACGTACGTGACCGATTTACAATGTAGGTTTTCTTGCATCAAGAATTTTACTATTTATACATCCGATGTTATCAGATTCTATTATTAAGTAAGCTCTCAGGTTTTAAAAGCTGTCTATTGTGTCTTTGTCAAATTTTTATTACATTATTCTCCCTCCGATAATTTTATTCGGTCATTTTACAATCATTCGATCGTTTCTCTCTTTTTCATAGAATTACGTTATAATGATTGAACGATTTTTAAAAAAAAAAATGGAATGGAATAATTAAGAACTATTATTAGGGAATGTTTAATAATTAATGTTAATAAGTAGGCAAAATGTTGAATTGTCCTATTTTCAAGATAAAATGCAGAATTTATGTATTTTTGATATACGACCGAGCGCGTTAATATGAAATTTTTACGGGTGTTTGTAAATCCTTGTTTGGATATTGTGTTCAGCAAATGGTAAAGGGCAAGACAGCTTTTAAAAGCAAAAGTTTCGAATGTTAGTTGTAGTTTGAAATTTTTCAATGATATTTATTATAACCTTACGGTTGTTGCTTTCATACGAAACTGATTATGGACACTTTTTTCTGTTTTTACCTTTACTACGTACATTGCATACACCTTTTGATACGATTTTGCGAGACAGACTGATGACAAACTATTTTCCGCGAAGCATTTCCTGTAATTTGTAAACTGCTTGTTGTATGGACGTTTAATTATCGAGGCAACGATTGATCGTTTTTAAAGTAACTGTCTTCCCTTGTTTGTCTACCATTTAACACTGGAACTGCCAAACCGGTCGAATTAACCTGTCTGAGACTATATGTTTTCGCAATTCCTGGGAACACGTAGCTGCTTTTGGTAAAATTAATATAGGCTCTTACCGAGATAGAAATATAATTACGTATACCCTGTTACTTATTTTAATTCTATTACTTTGTTCGTTATTATATATCTAATTATACGAGACGTTCATTACACAAATCGATTGACTCCAATTTTTGAGAAATCTTGAATATAAAATGTTAGGAGTACACCAAGTGCTTTAACCCTTTGCACTCCACGATTTTTTGGCAAAAGAAGAGTTAGAAGAAATAGGCGTTCGAAGATTTTCTGCTATAAAGTTGACGATATTTTCTTGAGCAGTAAATCAGGAATAGTATAATAATTGACACGTAGAATTATTTCATTTCGATACCTCGCACGTTACATTATATTTGTAACCCATTCGCATTATAGCTCTACTTAAGGTGCCGTGTTCAGGCATCAGCAACGTTCAATTGACTAGTCCATATCACCGCGCGCGTATTAGCACCTATTCATAATGGCAGTTAAAAGGATTTTCTCAACAAAAGTAAAACTTGTTAAGAATATAACGAACCGATGTAGATGAGATGCTTACAAAAGGGATCAAACGTAATCTGTGGCATATGAAGAATATTCAGCAACTGGTAATGGAAAAAGTCAGCTCGCGGATTATTCCGCGCTCGGTGATAGGCGACAGTCGTGGCTCGCGGAATATTCCGCGCTTGGATGCAAATGGGTTAACCGTTTGAGTCCCAAGCAGCGCGAGGCGTCGTTCAGATTTCATGTCGAGAAAACCCAGCACATTTCGAGCGTTCTCGACACCTGACGGTGCGTCATCGACTGTCGAAGCCGAAGCGCTATCGCGCCGCTTGGGATATCTCGACATAAAATAGAAGAAGCGCGGTCGCGCTGCTTGGGATTACCTGACACTTCGTTCAGATTTCATGTCGAGAAGACCCAGCACATTTCGAGCGTTCTCGACACCTGACGGTGCGTCATCGACTGTCGAAGTCGAAGCGCTATCGCGCCGCTTGGGATATGTCGACATAAAATAGAAGAAGCGCGGTCGCGCTGCTTGGGATTACCTGACACAGTTCTTTCAAAACCCTCTGGGACTCAAAACGGTTAAATTTCAGATATTAATTAATACTGATCTTCGAAATTTTATCAAACGGCGACTGAAGGGCGCCTCTCGAATGCAAAGGGTTAACACTTAAATTTTTCTAAAAGTGGAGCCAATCGACCTGCGCAGTGAACGTCTCATATATGCACACTATGGTTAGGTATAATTTATAGGTTGGTGGTTGCAGTGTTAAAAAGTATTTGTTAGCGAGTAATTACTTAACGTAATACATATATTTCTTCCTGTGTAGGTTTAATTAATCGTTTAAATATTAAGATAAATCAAAGCAATAAATGGACTGTTCCTTCGCACAGAAGCTTAATGTCCACGACAGTAAACGTCAGCTGAAAGTTGAGGGATTTAAGGTTGAAACGGAAAGAATATTTTGAAGATTTAAAAGAAATTATTTTATTTCGTATTCAACACGAGACACCACGCTGTTTCTTATGTGTAAGGAAAGCAAAAGTAATAACGAAATACTACGCTCCCCGATTCCAATCTAATAAATGTTTGTACTCACGTAAGTGCTTAGCTTCCAGAAATTTTCTTAAAGACGATCAATCGAAGCTGCATATTTTTGAAAGAAAATGAGATTGCAAGATACCGAGGTTTCTCGTAAGTAAGGGAAAATGTTACTAACGTAGTTATGGAAATATATTGATTTTTACAATCGCGTTAACGATCGATACTCGAGGTTTGTTACGCTTCCCTCGATCCACAAATTTAGCTGCATTTGTACAAAAAGGATCAACGAGGAAGCGCGGAGTTTAAAAGGAAATTTAATATAACAATGCGAATATCTCATGGAATTCTCAGAGCATTAAGAAAATAAGAAAAAAAAAAAGAAAAAAACGACAAAAAAATGGAAAAAAAAGAGGTAAAATCTGCGTACAAGCGAAGATACATATGTGTGACTGGAAATACAAACGTACACATTTTTTTACATACACAAATATTTGCATTTGTCTGTCGGTGACTTGTTGCGAATTTTCGTTTGTCACTTGCAAAGTTTATTTGATCACGTCTATTTTGGATACAAACGATAACTGAAATTCTTGTTCCATTGTATGCGTGTTTTTCCGGATGAACGTATCGCATTTACGATACAGTGTGACGTTTCTTGGAAGCGTCGTTAAACGTGTTATGTTGTAAGTTAAATTAAGTTCACGTGTATTCAAGCAATAGATGCAGATCATGCACAGAAGTTCGGTTTTTCAGTGTATTTATGTTTAAGTGACATTTATAATTAATATTTTACGATTATTGCGCTATATTATCTATTTACAAACATTGTTACTTGAAAATGAAATTGTAGAAACCCGAAAGTTAATAAAATACATTATATAAATATCTGGTGTTGTGAGTACCATCTATGAAAATAGAAATTGAAAATTACAAGTGGAAAACAAATAAATTAAGGAAAATAAATTCATTTTCTACCGTGGATAAATAAATTCAAACGTTAAAAGATTTCAATCACTGGTAATTTTAAAATTGTCGCAAGATTCAACCATGGCTCTGATGATAAGTAGATTATCGAGTGTATTTTTCTTAGGAAGATAATCGAAACTACTTTACCATCTTCTTTATCGCATTTGATATTATCGACTCAGCACAAGGTAAGATAACAATAGTGGGTAACACTAAAATTACAGATCTAACATATAATAAACTTATCACCAACTGATATATTATTTTATTTTGCACTCAAATATTCATTTTATTACCATTTAAGTGTGTTATCAACGTTACCGATAAAGTAGAAACTAAGCATGAACAAGGGGTTGAATAAACCTAACAATGTATATTTTTCCATAAAACCTAGAAAAATTAAGACCTACGAAGTTTTTTAACTAAAAATAAGAGAAGACGGTATTTTGTACCTATATCAATATTTTACATTTTTATGTCGATAAATAAATAGAATTAAAAAATTTATTAAAAGAGAAGAAGAAATGAAATATATCTCATTATATTTACTTCAGTAACTATTAATTAATACTAATTATCCTTAGTTATGAATATACTTAATTACAAATATACGTTCACCTAAATACTAATATGCTTATTACAACATTGCAACGTAAGTCATAGCTTACTTATAAACTATCTATTTATCAAAGCTTATCTACTTATCTACTTATTACTGCTTATTTATTAACATTCCACTTGTATACTAATTGTAAGATCTTAATTTCAAAATAACTTACTTAATCAATCCTAGCTTAACTTAAAGACAGTGAATAATAAAATCTACTTTATTTAAAAATACCCTGCTTAATCGAGAACCAAATTCATCTTACCTATTAAGTATTGGAAAGTTATTATAAGTCCTATCAACACAAATATCCAAATATAACGAAGAAATAGAAAAATATCATGAACCTGTCTTCATTCACTCAGCCATAAGGCTTTCTACAACAAATTTCATCAACTCTACCAACATAAACATTGAAGTCTTCTCATCCACACAAACATAGGTCCAGAATTTCTTTTGTACATGCTATTCTCACAAATATAAGAGGGTTTTTATATAACTTATTTGTCTCAACTCTAGAGATTTCACACATCTTAGCTGACATAAATCACAAATCAGTTGTTTTCATACACTTTACCCATACAAAAAGCTAAAGACTCGATTTTGAATCCTATTTTATTTTATTTTATAAAATGTGAATATTAACAAACTACTACTACTACTACTACTACTACTACTACTACTACTACTACTACTACATATTACTAAATAAGAACATAGTGACAAAGTAGTAACAGAAATGATTCCCCATCGTTTGGATGGAAAATCATTGCCAGGCCGCCATCTTCGTGACAGCTTGTCGCGCGCCATGTCCGCTGAAACTTATGTCTAGGCTCGAGATTCTCTAATCGGAAACCAAAAATAAAAAGAAATGCGAAAAAAAAATTCGAATCGGGAAAGCTAATCGAAAAATACATGGACAAGCAACGATCGGAGTTATCGTCGTTCGTGCACACGTGCAGAAACTCGAGCACATACACGTTCGTTTCAGACAACACCATCACGACCACGACCGCGACTAAAATTTGAAAAAATCGATATGTAAAGCTAGTGACGAATGGCAACCCCCAAACGTGCCATCTTCACCGTCGATTATTCAAATTAAATTTCCGGAAACAGGTTGTGCACGAGGAAACGTGCCTACCCGACCAGAGACTGTGCCAACCTGCCCGGCTCTACCTACTTATAATTATCAG